AAACTAAGGAAAAGACATCACAGTACTGGCCATTCATACTGAGCGAGGAGTGATTCTAGCAGTGCAAACAAAAAATGGACATCAGACATTACTGCTAATAAAGACACACAACAAAATGTGAAATTTGTGACAATGTCTTCTCCTGAATTACACTATAAATGTGTGTGTGTGTTCGATTATTTGCATTCCCGCCAGCCTGATTATGAGCAGGCGTGCTTGTGTGCATATGTTTCTATATTTGCATGTTTACGTCTTGGTGTGTGTGCGTGTGTGTGTGGTTTAAATCCTGTGATGGTGTCTCCACGTGTTATCCCGTGTAACACAGTCTTGGTCCTCATTATCATTTCTCCCTGGGCCTGTTCTGGTGTTCAGAGCCCCACCAGAGGGGCCTTTGGCTCGGTGGGAGAGGTGTTGGAGGCGGCCTGGCCCTGCTGCGCTCCTTCCTTCCCCCTCCGCAGGGTGCCAGGCACAGCGTGTACCAGTGGCAAGCCAAGCCTGACGATGAGGCTGCCTGCACAGCCAACGCCGTGTTTGAACAGGGCAGGGGGTTGCCACGTCATGCCGAACACACACAGGCAGATAGGACTACTTGCACAGACACACACACACATATCTACACACACAGTACTCCATAAGGCCGACTCCCGGTGAGTTCAACACATGTTCGGAAGATGCTGCAGAGGTGAGAGGGAATGTGTGGAGTCTAATTTAACCGGGTGTCTGCAGTTTGTGCAGGTGAGAAACATCACAAACACAGACTTTGGAATCTGTGGATCATATCATTGGATTTGTTATATGGGTGTTTTGTGTCATTTTGGTATTTTGCAGTAAACACATTCATTTAATTTGTTATTCCTACAGTCAAGAATTACATCTTTTAGAAAGTTTTAAATAAAAAGTGACTGCAGTTAAGTGTTTTACTATCCAACTCTTTCATCCTCGATGCGGTTATTCAGTCTCCTCCTCCCCCTGACTTCATCGTTTCAGCATATTGCGTGTTCCACATTAAGATTTGATTCAGTCATATGTTCAGCTCTCAGGTGTGCCTCCGAACCATGAAATATTAAACCTATGAATTCAAGGAGATGTCACATTCTGTGTTTCATTCATAATGTACACCTACACTACATTGTTGACTCTTTGAATTCTAATAAGGGATAAGCAGACGCAGTGCAATCTTCACGTTGGCTTTACATCTCGCTCTCAGCATCTGTTAAGTTTGCAAAGTCTTAACTTTTTCGCAGTTACTTTTGATTTCTTTCTGGGTGGAAAAGAAAATCTGTTGAATGTTAAAAGAGCATTAGGGAAGGCATCCTAAAAATGTAGCTGTGTGAGAATTGGCTTGAAAAGTGTGAGCGGGTGTGTATCTATGTGTGAATGTGTTTGCACGACCTCCTCCTTTTTGCTATCTCCAAGTGTCACATCTCTTCTCATAACCATCACGTGGGAGTCAATCCCACTCAGTCCCAAATCAAGTAGGGCCACTGGCAGCATCAGATATCAAACATGCACATAAATACATTTAAAGACACACACAAATCACTTCAGACTTCAAATATCAGATTGTAACAACAGAAAGAAAATACTGTTTCTGTCCAACCTCTGTGCTGCAAAAACATAAACACCGTCTCCCTCTGCTCTTGAACTCTCCCTTTGCTCTCACAGGCAACCAGGGGAGAAGGGAGTTGAGTAGGGGGGAGAGATTGGGTTACAATGACATATCTCTACGTCCCCTTCTCCTGTGTGAGAAGGAGGTGGGAAGCACTAGTGTCTTTGGGAATGCAGGCATGTTCCCTGGAGGAGATAGACGAGATAGGCCTGGCGCCTCCAGGAGGAGTCCGTCACCCTCTCTCTCTTTCTGTCTCACCCTCTCTACTTATCTCAGAGAAACCACAATAGGGTTTTGTACACTGGAGCAAGGCGAGGAGGCTTCAGATGGCAGCCGAGTATGATATGCAGGACGACAGAGGGCTTGATTCACTCCCTCTGTTCCACACAATGATACGCTACAATGCAGCACACCACATGTCTAATAATAAAGCAGAGCTCTATGTTCACCCGGCATACATTACATACACACTGCTCTCCCTGTTTGCACAGGCAAGATACAGAGTATGTGGAGTCCGTGTCAAGTGTTTGAATTAGGGCATGAGTGATTCCACTTTTACTTTCAACTCAAGCAAACAATTACAAACAATGTTTTCACTTTTGAGGCAGTTAATGGCGTCTGGTAGTCCTCAACTGGACTTTGAAATATCTTTTTGCCCACCATGTCTGGTTCAGGCTATGCACATCACTGGCTCCAGTACCATGCTGTGATTTCAGATAAATGGCAGTTGTCATAGTTAGACAGATGACACAAAGGGAAGGGATCAGCCACAGGAGGGATGAACATGGTACCAGTAAAAACTTCCTCACTAAAGATGTGTCCACTAATCATCTTTATTGATTATGGCCTGTTTTCTGCTGCTTGGAGGCGCACAGGAGATCAAAGTGGTGATGACACATGCAACATTATAATTGGCAACAGAACGAGGAGTGACATGAAAACGAGGAGTGAAGGCGGTCACATGCCTGCGAGTCCATTGAGGCTGCATCACAACACTGAACCATAAATATGTTCACCATGGTTTCTACTGGACAATAAAAACTTAAAGTGTCATTTATGTCTCAGGTTGTGTGTTTAAAAGGTCAAACGTTGACAATACCAAAGTATACCACTGGCCAATAACACTAGTTCAATATAAATGTTATCTGCTGGAAGCCTTGCAACCTTGGTGATTGCAGAGGCCAAAGGCTGTGCCCTTTCATGTATTTTCTCAGGGCAGGTAAATTGGAGAGCCAGCAGCTGTAATAGGAAAAAGCCTCGGAGACACTTGAGTCGTCCTGACGAAGAGAATAGCAATTATTCTGGAAAATCAATTTTCAACCCAATCTTTCTTCCTTATCGACCAAGAGACTCTTTGGAGGTAGAGAAGGTGACAGGAAAATGTATCCCCCAGATTCTATTAGTGGATCTCTATTTGCTATGTGCATCCAAGAGAGGCCCTTTGTTCTCACCACATCTCAGCTAGGTATAAATACTGAGGCTGAGCACACTGTATATGAAAATAGATTTTTTTTTTTTATCTTCCAGAAGCTCAATTATTTTCATCGATTTAATGCAGGTATTGATTCAGTTTGCCATTAGACATTCCATTTGTTGGATTGTCTAAGAACAAAGAGAGTTAGCATGAAAATACAGCTACTCTCGACAAAAAATAACACGTACTGTATATTCAATATGAACTGCTCTCCATTCATTCCTGATCCGTTTGTATTAATTGAAATCTAAGCTGCTTCACTCTAGGTGCTGCTGTTACCCCCGTGTTTGTTTTGTGTGTGCACCCAGGGTCAAACCTCTTCACGATTATTCCCACAGTCTTATCAGTGTTTATTTTCCTACTGTGAAAAGCCTATTGCTGCGGCATTCTTTGCATGTCATTCTCTGACCAAGATTTATCGTTGTGTTTATCCCATTAATATGTCCAGCCATTTTGTGAACTTCTGTTACTTCTGTGTTCATCTTATATTAAAACGCTTCAGTGTTTCTGTCCTGCTCTCTTATAATAATTGTGCAAATTAAACAGAGTAATAAGTGTGCATTTATGTGTGTGTGTTTTGACATCAAACAGACGTAAATCAAAAGTGGCATTGCTCTGATATGGGCTAATAAAACTCCCTGATCTGGAAGCGCTATAGGCTCTTACAGTATAAACCCTGAAGCTCATGCACGCACAAGCACACACACACACCAACACACACATCGCCGCAAGACTTCTGTGGGGCCATTTTCATGATTAACCATAACTCCTCAAGAGGAAATTCATTACTGGTTGTCCGAAGGCATACACACACATTCAAATGAACAGAAAAACACACACTCGCATGGGGGAAGAAGACAAAAACACACACATACACACTCTGTCCTCCCCTGCATGTGTTAATATCCTGACGCAGCAATGAAAAGGGGGATGTGAGGATTTACAGTGCTGATTCTGAGAAGTTGCATTTGCTTTTGGTTACCAGGGACCTCTGAGGGTTCAGCAGGCCCTGCCTCCTCCCTCTACCTCCACTGTGTGTCCATTCTCCATCCCCTCCTCCACCTTTCCATCCCTCAGTGGAGGATAAAAGTGTCCGGCAGTGTGGATGTGTGACTTGGTGTGGAGGGGGAGTATTTTGTGAGAGTACTGACTGTTGAAACAGATGCCGTTATGTGTGTGCCACCTATGTCAACATGGCCGGTCTCCGGACCCGATGCTGCTCGTAGATAGGATCCTGCCCACAGAGCCACAGAGTCTAGACTCCAGATGTGTTAACAACCACACACACAGACCCGCACACACACACACAAACACACACAAACACACACACAGAGGAGGACCAATGCCAGTCCAAACCAATAATTCTACCATATGACAGCTGTTTACTTACACAAAGTTAGGTATGGATAATCATCCTTTTTCCCCACTCTTGATAGAGATACTACTTACAAAACTGCACATGTTCTTGTTTATGACAGCTTCACTGTACAGTAAGTGGGAGTGGAGTGCAGAAACACCCTATCACGATGACATTTGGATGTAGTTAGGCGGTGAAATACCATCGGCCACCATGAACAATTTTGAACAAACACATTGAATCCATTTCCAGCATGAATTGTGCAAAAAATCAACACAGACAGCACAACGATGCCAGGTAATGCTTTTGCTTTGCAGAACTTTATATGGATTTCTCATAACTTCTGCCTAACATTTATATAGATATCAAATACTGTATGTATTTAAATTACCTACTGCTTCTCTCAAAACGGCACTGAAATAAACAGAAACATATGCTGGCTGCATATGTTCAACACTGCTTTATTTAGACTGTTCTATAGCGACACGACAACAAGAGTGTTTTTGTGGAAAAGACACATGGGTAAATTGCAACTGTTATAGAAAACAAGACTCGGGGAGAGGAAAAGTAAAGAGTGAAAGTGTTCCGAGCACAGATGCACCCGCTCTCTTGCTATCTCCTGTGCTTGTGGGTATACTGCCGATCCAGCTATTCTTGTTGGTTTGTTAATTGTTTGTCACCCACCAGGTGCCATCTGTCTGTAGTCCCACAGTCCCCGAGCCATGTGGGCCGGCCTGCCTGTCGCCTGCCAACGTCACTGACCTGCAGCAACCGTCCACACCTCCGTCACACACCTCCTGATCCGTCTGGGATAAATAGCTTCTCCCTCAACTTCTGTGCCGCCATCACGGCTTCCCAATCTGTCCTGTGTTAGAGGGGGAGGGAGGGGGGGGTGACAGGACGGGAGGGAGAAAAGACAAATGAGAGGAAGAAATGAATAGATGGATGGATAGAGTGAGACGGAACACGAGATAGAGATGGATGTCTGAAGAGATAAAAGGTTTGAGATATGAACGCTGACGGGATTGTTTGTGCTGCAGTCTGTTGTTGCAGCCTGCTACGATAAGTCAACAACAACTGTCGCATTTGTGTCTATACAAGTCCTGTATATGTTAAAGCAACACTCAAGTAATGATTATAAATTCTGATAAAACATACCTAAAATCAAAACAACACAATGTGACAGTATTCTGGATTTGGCACAGCATCCACTGCAACACACTACTTTAAGAGGCACTCCAACAGGCAAGGGAGGTCACCTTCACCTGGGCCTGATGTTGGGGCAGCTGTGTGTTGAAAAATGAGATCAGCTGCTTGCTCACCGGGACGCATGCGGCAGTCTAGAACCACCAAGGGCCTAGCATTCGGGGGCCCCAGTACAATAAAGACAGATCGAGCAACCCCCCCCCCTCTCAGCCTGTCTGCCATCCTGGGGCATGTTGGGTCACCTTGACGACTGGGCCCAGCGAGGGGAGCCGCACCCCACTTCGGGGCAAAGAAGGAAGCATGGGTAATGAGGCGTTGCCATGCAAGTGGAACAGCTTTTGAATAACCCCATCCGCACACAGATACACACACACGGTATTCTACAGTACTTGTGTTTACAGAAGGGACAACAGCTTGTTGGAGAAACCTCTCAGGAGCTCTTAGTCCAGGAAGGAGGATATTCATGGGCATCATGGTGGAGGTCAGCTAGTGTTTATGAACAGCTAGCGTCAATAAAAACAAGAATGGATGCGATGAATCAGAAGCATGCTTATAGATTCCATGCTATTTAAAGTGAGTTTTGCTATCATGTAGCTATGTTGATGAGATTGGATCCTAATATGCTTGTATGATCTTCATGTTTACAGATTTTATGTTCCTCTTTTCCAAGTCTTGTATACAATCCTCTGCTCTTCATTGTGGAATACTTGTAAAGTGTTATTGCTTATCAATCCAAAAACTAGTGCACATCGATGTTTAAACGAGCAAACACATCTAGCCGAGGAAACAGTGTAAATCAGCCACCCATGAAATGTTCATTTGAAAAGGAGACGCAGAAAGAAAAAAAAGGATTTTCCAATCCAAATACGCCTCGCTATAATAATTGTCTGATATTAGGTTTAATCATTCTGCATCTTGGTCTCATAAAGAGAGGGAAGGTACAGTATTCCCTCATGTTGACTCAATGTTAAACATTCACTAATGGTCTACCAAACTGTGCGGCATCTCATGAAGCCACTGGAATCCTGGGACTGTAACATATCCAGTGGGAGATGTCTGACCACCTCTACTCACACACACACACAATCACATGTAACATACACTTATAATCACAAACACGTACCAATCATTTGCAGATGCAGTATGTATGGCGTCACGGTTGAAATACTTACGTTTGAGAGGAAGGACATGCCTGTTGTCAGTAGCCGGAGAGAGAGTGAGAAAGAAACGACCCTTAAACCTGGTTCATGAGAAGAAAAGCAACCAGAAAAATATCCCCTCAAGTGAAAAATGAAAAAAGGTTTCTGACCACATAGAGACGCAAGTGCCCAAGTTTGTTTTTCATTAGCTTGGCTTGTTTGAAAGGAATAAACCTCCACAGAGTTCTGTCTGGAATCCATGTCTTATGGTAACACAATCCAAAGTGGCTGCAGTACATAGGCTTTACTCCAACATTTGAAAACTTCATATGGGTCCTGAAATGTGTTTTTATTTATCCAAAGAGGTTCTTCAGTCAATAAGATATATATTACACATGAAACAACTTGTGAACTGTAGTGCCTTATCTCCTGCACAAAGCCTTAAAAGTTCCACATCATTATTCAACTATTCCTTCTGTTTGCAATTTGAATCAGCCCTTTACAGATATAAATTGCTGAAAATCTTGGAAACTACTCTGGAATTCCACAAAAGCATGACCGTATCGGTATTAAGCTATAAAGCCATGTTGTAGAAAAAGGGCTACAGAATGTATTTTTCTAAATGTTCTGAAGTTGATGTATGATTCCACAATGTGTGTTCTTTTTTGTTTCATTACACTTATTTTTCTTCTTTACGTCTGTCCTCTCTGAATGCTAATAGCTCATCTCCTTCAAGCCTCGCCACAGATGCTGGCAGGTCTATCCTGAAATGATTATCAGAGCCAGATCCCACTGGCCAGCTTTCCAGTAACACTCGTGGAACCAGGGCTGAGCCTGAGACTGTGGTGAGCGGGCGCTAGGCTGCCAGGCTGTGGATGCCAACAGGCCCCAGAAATGAATACCAGCAATGGGGCCTCACCAAGGTCCAACATCCAGATCCAGTTGGAGTAGAAGAGACAAAATTGATGACTGGCAATGATGTCACGAGACATTTGATGGCTTGGGGTTTCCTGAGACACAGCTAGTGATGCCTCACCTGGAAGAACGAACAGCGGGAAAAATCCCAGAGATGGATGCATGATTAGGCTAAACTGAGTATCCGACTGGCAACTTCAGAGAGATTTGAATTTCTGCATACTGAAATATGTTAAAACAGTATTTAAATCAGCCTTTGTCCTCAGATTCCTTTTTTCTGGGAATCAGATTTCAGATAATGATAATTTTGGGCCGTCGTATAGCTTAGATCAGTGGTTCCCAACCTTTTTTCCCAAGAGCCCCCCCAAATGACTCCTGTTGGAAGTTCCCCCCCCCCCCCCCCTACACACAAGGGGGCGCAACAGCAGTAATTAAAGTTTCAAAATGCTACAACTACTGTCACAAACTGGATGAATGTGAAGTATTTTGTTAAAGGAGGATGAAAGCGTAATTAAGGAGCACTATTGGAGTGACTTTGATGGTTATTGGACTCAGGATTCATTCATTTGGATTCCCGCTGTATGAAGAAATTAAAGGACGGCGCGGAAGTGGAAACAATTCACAAAGGGATTAAACTGTTTAAAACACATGCTCAAAGTAAGCCATATTTTGCCGATGTGTTTATGTGGATTCAAAAGTCGTAAATAATCTACAAAATGGAGACCGATCTGATCGGAGCAACTGTGACAAATAATCCAACTGAAACCGGCATGGACAATGACTATGTTTTAAAAATGCGCTTATCCAGACAAGCCTGGTTTGGACACTTTACGGGCAGAAGAAACATTTCTATAGAAAGAATTATACATTTCTGTCTTTTTATACCTTTAATAGCTACTAACTTCAATTTGTATTCAAATTAATTAATCAATTATTTTTTATATTTTATTGTAATGTATAGACAAGGCTTTTAGTGACAATCATGTATTGCGTTACAGTTATAATGTATAAAAAATAAATCTAAATATGATATTTGGCCTCAAATCATCTGAGGCCTGGCGCCCCCCCCCCCCCTGCGATCTTTGGCCCCCCAGGTTGGGAACCACTGGCTTAGATGGTAGAGCTGACGGCACATGTACTTGGTCCTCAAGCGGAGGACCCGATTTCAAATTCGACCCGGGACCATGGGCCTCGTGTCGTCCCCTCTGTCTCCCACATTCAAATAAATGCACTGGTTTGCCAAAGACATCTTAAAAAAATTAATCAAATAATAGTAATTTTAAACATAGCTTGTGCAGCAGAACAACAACACGTCCTCTCGCCACCCTAACTAAAGAGAGAAGAAGTATGACATTGATGAAGAGCTTAAGCTGAACCACACCAAACCACAGCTTCCTGACATATGTTCTAAAGTTGCCAAATATTTAAAATCGGTTTGACGCAATACATGTATCACCCCCAATGGGAAATTACAGGATTATGAGTTGTTAGAAAAAACTTGATGAGAAAATGACCTGATAAGATACAGATGATGCTGTTATTTATATAGTCATGTATTTGACGCGTTCTGTCTGCGTCATCCAGTTTTAGTAACTGTTGCACTTACTCTGTAATAACATTAAAACCACATTGCAGTCACTTTCTGTCGCATTTTTGCAAAGAGTTAAGTGTTACCATCTTGTGTGTGTTTTGTAATGAGCTCAGGGGACAGTCCAAGCAGTTTATAAGCTGAAATCATGATCCAGTGAGTCCAATCACAGCAACGGTGGTTTAAACATCAGGAAATCATTTACATTGCCTTGGCTCATGGGAAGTTTCTAAATATCTTAGCAAAGTAATGACAATGCATGACTTCTCACATGTGCACACACACACACACACGCACGCACACACACACACACACACACACACACACACACACACACACACACACACACACACACACAGAAATATTCAGCTCATATCAGAGCCTCTGGGGAATAATAGATTTGTTTTCATCTTTCATCATTCAAAATAACAGCATGTGTGCTTGTCTTCTAATTCATTTAGTAACTTCATAATTGACTTGTAATGAATCAGTTCTAAAACATTTTCAGTGATAAAAACTTCAAGCATAAAGAAACAATTAATCAGCTCAGTATTTGTTATAATACTAATAAACCAAGACAAATTCCTTTCAATTAAACCAAGGCCAACATGTTTCTTGTTCCCATAAATATGTTACCCTCAGTTATGCCAAAGTTGGAATGTGTCCAACATGAGCCATGCGATGACATATTTTGTGTGGGCTAGCTAATAATGTTTTCCCCACTGCATCTCTCTGTTCCTACCCAGGCGGAAAAAAAGTTTAAGAGTAGGAGGAATTAATGTATATTAAAAGGGAAACCTTAAAGTGTTCATGGAAGAATTGAGTCATGTTGTTAATCAGAACTGCAAAAAGAGAGACCTTTAACTAGCCTAGATTACTGTAGGAGAAAGATTTTGTTCACCCACACTTCTAATGGAAACAGATGCCGAACATTCAGCTGGGGAACAAATACACAAAACAGCAGAGCTTCTGTTTTCTTTTTCCACTCTTCTTTTTTTAACCGCCTTACACTCCCTG